ATGGTCTCGGCTGCATACAATGTCTTGTATAGGTGTCGCTTCCAGCCAGCAGGTAAGCCGATCCACAATAGTGAGGAGGTATCGATAGCCTTCGCAGGGTGGTAGACGTCCAACAAGGCCGATGTGAACATTTTCAAAACAGCTGGCATGAGGCAAAAGTTTCTCAAGTAGATATGATACGCCAGTGCATTTTCACTTATTATCAGTGTAAACACGCTCCTAGCTGTAGAACTTGGCATAGGCTTCAGCTCGACACCTCTGTGCCCCACGGACAGATTTTAGGCACAATGCTGAATGTAGCCTGCCTTCAAAGTTCCAAGGAAAGTGGTGGAATGAGGTGCGCCCTCTCTAGCTGGAAAGACCCTAGACCAGCTATGTGTCTACTGAGTCAAACAAGTAATCCTCAGAAATAAACCCTCGGAACACTTCTACGGTGACGGGTAAAACTAACTTTAGCATGGAAGGAGACGGGGGCACCGGGTAAAACTAACTTTACCATGGAAGGAGAGGGGGGCACCAGAGTGGGGCTTTGTGTCAACCTCAACAAGGATTTCGCCCTACGCCAACTTTTTCATTTGAGTTTCGTTCATAAATAGTCAAGAAAGGGCTCACCATGTAGTACATCACCAATAGTAAAATACGAACGTCTCAAGCACCTAAGTTACCCGTCAGCCCATATCGAGCTACTTCACTTACAGGGGCACCCCCCCTCTCCCTTTTTGGCCCCTCCCCCCCCTGGCTCCGCCCCCCTCCGTTCACCGCCCGACCAGCAGCGTCAATACCCTTCACTCAGGGGCGCGGTCATACACGTCGTAGTTGAACGCAGTCAAGAGGGTGACGGCGAGGCAGGCGAAACGAACGACCCAGTCGACGCAATGCCTTCACGTGCACGCGAGCTGCAAACTCATATGCTTGAGCTCAGTCCACCCACTCTACGCCACACCAGCTGAAGGTATCGAACGACCTGCGCACTGCTCGAGTTCCACCGCCTCACCGACGCGTCTGACCGCAGACACCGCGCTGCTCCAGCAGCAGCTGCACTCAACGAATTGACGCTCGACGGACTTTGCCAACGCCACGAACGCGCCGACGCCAGACCGCCACCATAGAGATCAGTGACCGCCACCGACAGCCACACCAGCCAGGCGCTAGCCGCGCTAGCAGAGCCGCCGGCGCGGCGCGCCCAGCTTCCGCCAAGCGACGTCATAGGATATTGATATAATGAGACAAACTAATTTACAGTATGTCTACAATTACTTAGACTTTATAGCACCGCTTCTTTACATAAAATAATAGCTCAAGAGCCTTATTTTATTTATACCACGTGACCTTTTAATTTCAAAAGTGCATAAAAATACATTGTAAATATATTTGCGGGTTGTATAAGTTTATGATATTGCTTAATATATAATATTAAAGTAATTTTATATTAGTTTTATAGGTCACGTGGTTTTATACGTCACTTCCGGTGTTGAAGGAGCCTTGTCTGTGTTAGAGCACTATATAGCTATATAGTGCTCTAGTCTGTGTGGATGTGGCTCCAGCTCCTACGGAGCAGAGTAGCGCAATCCTTTGAACCCCGTGTTTTACCGACAACATGGCCGACAGAGCGGCTCGGCGCGAGTCACGTGGTACTCAGGGTTCCAGGAGGCGGCCCTCCCTATGGGAGAATACATGGAGATCGATACAACACGGCTGATTAAAAAATGAACGGCGAGTTCACACTTTTCAAAACTAGTCTGCCGTGAAGTTAGTAAAGCACTAAACACTTTATCAAAGTTTTAATAATATCGGATGCGTGTGCAAATTTTGAGAAGGCAATTTCCAAGGCAATGGCGTTTGAAGCAGACGGTTTTTGCTCGCAGCGTAGATGGGCTTTTCGGGTTGGCCGGAGCGGGTCACGTGAATGGTGTGATGTTGCCGTGTCGTCTGCTGCATGATGCCGCTCAAGCAACTTTTTAAAAAAAGTCAGGTCCTTGCGGGGCACAAAACTTAGCGCAAATTATTCTAAAATGTTCCATTATTATGTCAAAAACAATTGCCACTCCGTACACCCCCACAATACTGAAGAAACAGCGATTGTCTCACGTTCTCCATGCATTCTGACCGCAGTTGGAACCTCCGGGCGTTCGCCGCTAGTCGCCGAGAGGCGGCGTCCTAGATTGCGCTACTCTGCTCCGAAGGAGCTATATACAGTCTTGGGTAGTAACGCGTTACTAGTAACGCGTTACTGTAACTTCGTTACTTTTTTGGTAACTTGTAACTGTAACGAGTTACTTTTTAAAAATGTAACTTGTAACTGTAGTTCTATTACTTTTTTCTGAGGTAACGATGAAAGTAACGACGTTACTTTTGTCGTTACTTTGCAGTGTTTTATGAATAATATATCACTGAACGAGGTGCAATTAAGCCATTCCTTGCACTGTCCAAATCGTCTATTCCGAAATTTCGAGTGTCAAGTTGGCCTTGCACAAAGTTGTGAATACGTTCTTTCTCGCGAGTAACGAGCCGAATATAGCCACGTGTAGATTTTATGAAAAAATATCTAGTTATCTTTACGCACGCGCTTGTACTTCGTGCCTAAACACTTACATCTTAGTGTCTTGAAGCACTACCTACGCTGTCTTTTCTTTTTTCTGTGCAAACGCTTTTTAATCGGGTGAATCAACCGTAAAACAATAATACACGTGAAGGGCTCTGCGCATGTCTCGTATTTTGATTAGCGCCACTACTCCGCACTGCGCATGTTTCGTATTTTGATTTGCGCCACTACTCTGGCGTGGAAACTTTCAAACCCTAACTTGGAGAAGCAACTGCTGCTAAGTTACAATATGAAGTAAAAGGCGTACTTTTTAAAATTTTTTGCAATAAAACGCGAGAAGCGTTTTCTAGTTTTTTCAAAATTATTTTTGTGTTATAGAAAAGTAACTGAAAAGTAACGTCGTTACTTTTTAAAAGTAACTGTAACTGTAACGAGTTACTCTTTTGTTGCGGTAACTGTAACGGTAACTTCGCTACTTTTTTCTGAAAGTAACTGTAACTGTAACGAATTACTTTTTAAAAGTAACTTACCCATGACTGGCTATATAGTGCTCTAGCTCCAGCCAGAGCCGTGTATGTAGAGAGTTTGGTCATTGGGAGGCGCGGGCAGAGCCAGGGTGTGCGGCAGACTCGGAAAGAGGGCTTGGCATGCTCTCTTGACCAACCAGAAGCCGAAAAGAATCCCCTAGCGGTGGTAGCGAGAAACAGTTCTGAGCCGATCGATCATCGAAGGTCTCTGTTCCGTAAGAGTGAAGTGTAGTAACTCTTTGTGGTTGAAAATAGGGTGGACGTGTTGTTTCATCATGATCATGCAGCAAGATGTAAGAAACAAATGCGCCGCTCAACTCTGTTTTGCGCGGACAGAGTGTGACCGCTCTGACGGCAGATTCCCGGCGCTCGGCGTTTGGCGTAAGGATTATGTCGATCTTTCCGCTAGTCGCACTCTTCCACCATCATTTTAGATGAGTGTGATTGAAACATCACGTGTACCATATTTTCAGCCATCGAGAGTTACTCCAATGCAAATATCAGGTTTGTTTCTTGCGACCACCGCCAGGGTATTATTTCCGGCTTCTGGTTGGTCACATTCGAATTTCTGAAGACGCCCTGGAACACGCCCAGCCCGCTTTCGGCCAATGGCGCCGCTTCATTTGTCTCCTTTACTTCCCAACGAATGGCCAAACTCTCTACATATACGGCTCTGGCTCCAGCGACGGCCGTCCGAGGAGCACGAAACGATAAATTCCGCCATCTTGGACGTTGCTGCTTGTCTGGCAACCTTGCTTTCTCCGCTCGACGTTTGCAATTCTCGGAGCGAGAAGGAAGCGAGAGAGGCTGCGCCAAGGCGCTCGTTGCTTGCAATGGGAGGCGAGAGGAGGAAAGGCGCATGGAGCAACAGAGTTGCAACAGAGCGGGCGCCTGCTCTCGTGCAGGCAACACTGGCGCATATCCTTTCTCGAATCCTCTCCCTCAGGCGCCACCATTAAATTGCAAACGCTCTCCAGGTTTTGAGTTGCGCCCACCCTCACTACAGCCTCCCTAACCATGGTAAGGAAAAACTAGCGCCACGAGGCGCTAGTGGCAGAAAGGCGAACATACGTATGGTCGGAGATTAAAATTTGTCTCGAAAGGCAGCCAGATGGCGCCACCACTGCCGTTGGCGTGCGCCCTCGGTCCTCCTTCTTCCCCCCCCCCCCCCCCCCCCCCGGTTATTTTTTTTTTTTTTTTTTTTTTTTTCTGGTTTGTTTGCTAGGCTGGTGCCGCGCCGGCCGCTGGGAGCGGCCAGCACGGCACCGGTCTAGCAGACGAGCCGTGCGCGATATACTTCACAACAATTGCGCTTCACGTGATATTACCAGTGCAATCAAACAGAAACAGCACGTTCATTGAAATGTATTTTTTTATTGAACCCCATTCAAATGAGTTGCGGTATTTCAAACACGCATCTACAAACTCCGTTGGCAGTCCACCGCCCTCAAAGGGGAACCAAGAACTGTAGTAGGCAGTAAACACAGTAAAGTTGTCAAACATGTAAAACGAAATTAATTACTTTAATGTACAAATTAAGAGAAAAGCACTTATCATCGAATTATCTAAATGCTCTATAAACAACTCCCACAAACTAAACTTCTGAATACCCAAACAAACAAATCAACACCGAAATAAAGGAAAAGGCTTGCAGGTGAGCTGCATAAGAATAAACGATAAATAAACCATAAACAAACTCACCAATAGGCAATGCAATTAAGAAAGAAAGAAACTACTGTTTTGGAGTGTCTACATCTCTGACTGTAGGTGCTTTATCGGTACTCTATCCTAACATATAAACACGAAGCTGTCAAATTAACTGAAGATTGCTCTGACAGCAACTCACCCAGAGGAGCAAGTCCTTGCAGCAACGGATTCGTAACAAGAACGGTGGGGCACGCGTTTTCCACAAACGAATCTTCCCACAACTTGCAAACACGGTAGCACCGAAGTGCTCGCTGCACAAACGACGCTGGCGCAGCTTGCTCGTTTGTGCAGCGAGCACTTCGGACATTTAAACGGCCTTTTATCACTATGGGACATCTTGTGCTCCATCAAGCATGACTTTCTCTTAAAGGCTTTAGGGCAGCTGGGGCATTTAAACGGCCTTTCATCGCTGTGAGATAGCCTGTGAGTCCTTAAGTTTGACTTATTTTTAAATGCTTTAGGGCAGCTGGGGCATTTAAATGGCCTTTCATCACTGTGACATAGCTAGTGCGCAGTCACGCTTGACTCTTTTTAAATGCTTTAGGGCAGCTAGGGTATTTAAAAGGTCTTTCATCACCATGAAATAGCTTGTGAGACGTCAGGTTTGACCTATATTTAAATGCTTTAGGGCAGCTGGGGCATTTAAGCGGTCTTTTATCGCAGTGAGATAAGCTGTGAGACGTCAAGTTTGACGTATTTTTAAATGCTTTAGGGCAGCTGGGGCATTTAAACGGCCTTTCATTGCTGTGAGATGACTTGTGAGTCATCAAGTTTGACTTATTTTTAAATGCTTTAGGACAGCTGGGACATTTAAATGGCCTTTCATCACTGTGAAATAGCTTGTGTGCAGTCACGGTTGACTTGAATTGAAACGTTTTAGGGCAGCTTGGGCATTTAAACGGCCTTTCATCACTGTGTAATAGCTTGTGCACAGCCAAGGTTGCCTTTTTTTTAAATGCTTTAGGGCAGCTGGGGCATTTAAACGGCCTTTCATCGCTATGAGATAGCTTGTGAGTCGTCAAGTATGAGCTGATTTTAAATGCTTTAAGGCAGGTGGGGCATTTAAACGGCCTTTCATCATCGTGAGATAGCTTGTGCACAGTCAAGTTTGTCTGTGTTTTAAATGCTTTAGGACAGCTGGGGCATTTAAACGGTCTTTCATCGCTGTGAGATAGCTTGTGCTTCGTCAACCATGGTTTTGCTTGAAATGCTTTAGGACAGTAGGGGCATTCAAACGGCTTTTCATCGCTATGAGCTAGTTTGTGAGTCGTCAAGTGTGAGCTGACTTTAAATGCTTTAGGGCAGCTGGGGCATTTAAACGGCCTTTCATCACCGTGTAATAGCTTGTGCGCAGTCAAGGTTGCCTTTTTTTTAAATGCTTTAGGGCAGCTGGGGCATTTAAACGGCCTTTCATCACCGTGTAATAGCTTGTGCGCAGTCAAGGTTGCCTTTTTTTTAAATGCTTTAGGGCAGCTGGGGCATTTAAACGGCCTTTCATCACTGTGAGATAGCTTGTGCTTTGTCAAGAGTGACTTTGTTTTAAATGCTTTAGGGCAGCTGGGGCATTTAAACGGCCTTTCATCGCTGTGAGATATCTTGTGCTTCGTCAACCATGGTTTTGTTTGAAATGCTTTAGGAGAGTAGGGGCATTCAAACGGCTTTTCATCACTATGATATCTCTCGTGAACCTTCAAGGAAGACTTAGTCCGAAAAGCCTTAGGGCACGCAAGGCATTTAAAGGGCCTTTCATCTGTGAGAATCCTTTCACAAGTAGTTAAGCGATGCTTCCTAGACGCTTCTTCTGTCTGTGTGCCTTCAATCACGATGATCTTCTTTGTGGAGATGCTGGAGCAGGTTCCAAAAGAACAGCCATGTCTTGGATTCACCTGTTCGTCCAGACATTCCTGGTCAGATCGTTCTTGGGAAGAGGACAAGCTATGGCTTCCTCCACAGTCGGAGCTCCACTCTGGCACATCGTCTGCGTCTGTTGGGAAGACAAAATGAACAAGTTCCAGTCTTTCTAACTGAGGGAGGGAAAAAGATACCTATCCTTTACAGGAAAAGTTGTACATAAGTCAAAAACCTGCGATAAACCCTGAACAATTAAAAAGTTGGGTAGGTTGGAACTGTTTCAAATTAACTGCAATGAAAAACAAAGCTCGACCCATGTTGTGTTATACTGATTTATATACAGCAGGACCCGACACATTTTTTAATGAACCATAGGTAAAAAAGTATGGTCTGGAAAACAATCAATGGCAATAAAGCATTCAGGGGGCCTTCGATAACACAGGAAGTGACTATTTTTTAGTAACTTATTTCCCCAAGATGTTTGCAGCTGTGAACTATTGATTATTTGAACATTTTATAGAAACCTATATACTATGAGCACAATCCTCCGAGAAATCGCCGATCACGCGTTTCTTGCTAAATATTTGTAGAGTTCAAATTTCAAAGCGTACCCCACCCCATTTGATTCATACACTATCAGGTGGGATACATTCCAGCTGCTATGCTTCGAACAAATGAAAAAAAAAACAAAAACAAAGAGTTTGGGTTTTCTTTGTAGACGTAACTGCGGGGGTTCCCAATCTCTTGAGAAAGCTTTATTTCTCTTATACGACCGGCCAACCTTTCCAGTACTTAGGAGTGATGCGATAAATCGGCACAGAAGCCTAGATGCCTTTTAAACAAGAGTGCTCACGGTAAAAACTATTTAGTTCATAGTCATGCATCAACAGGAGGCTTATATCTGCAAAAATTATGCTTAAAGGGGAGCTCCGCCGATTTTTTTACAGTCTTCGATATGGCTGAAAATTGGTCGACCGCATCAATAACCCTTTCTTAACTAATAGCCAAAATATTTCATTAAAATAAAGTTTTTGCCCGAAGATATTGAATATTCAAGTTACGCCGGCCGCAAGGTTTCCAGGAGGCGACTCTCTACTGGCAACAATGAAAAATCTCTACTTTTCCCTAACCGTGTACGTCATGGATGGGCAGGCAGACGAGCGACTCGGGCAGCCGCGAAGTCGCTCTCTGGGCGCCATCGATCGAGATTATTTTTTCACAGCTTCAAGGTTGAAAGTTCCTTTGCAATGGGTAGCAATCTTACCTGGAATAGATTGTACGAACAGTGCCAGGAAAAACTTATTTTTTTTACCCTTGTATTCGTGGCAGAAAAAAAGTGCTCCCGAGCAGCGCAATGGGGGCCAGCCATTTTTTTGCGCAAACTGTGTGCCAAGAGAACTAGTGTCGCGTAGAACATTCTACGCTCATGCTCAGAATACTGTAAAACCTTTAACGTTTGAAAGCCCGCGAATTTCACGAAGTGAAAAATTCACGAAATTTAAGGGCACACGAAAATTTCGCTCCTTAATTGTTTCAACGCAGGCGTCTAGAATTTGTGGAATTTAGTGGCCGCAATTCGTTCTCTTTGACCGATTCCCGAAAAATAGAGGCCGCGAAAATAAAGATTTTTACAGTAGTTTGTAAGTTACAGGCTAGAGTACGTGGCTACATACTTCATAGCCGCGTGCTGCGAGTAGAGTATCCTTCTGCGGCCGGAGAACAACAGTTTCAAGAGCGGCGAGCACTGACTCAAGCCCCCTGTAACCACTACAATATCCGCCCAAAGAGGAGCGTTAATAATATTGAGAAAAATAGTGCACATCCTAGTACTATAGTGAACATTTCGTGCAGTCACATTTGTTGTTCACAATTGCTTCAGTATTTTTTGTTTTGTTTTTCACATATAGTATATTTGTTTCAGACATCGAATTTAGCTAGGGCTACTCTCAAATTCCACTTATGCAGCTGATCTGTTGAAAATGTATAGTAAAACGTCTAAACAAAGTTCAAGTCTCAATTTAGACATGACTTTTGACACACTGCCATTCGTGTCTGGTTTCACAGATGTTTATGGAACAGGTGTTGAGCTCCATTAATATACGAGCCATTGCCTGGTTTGTCAAATGGATGGCATACAATGTTTCCTCACAGAAAACGTGGTGAAAACGTCTCTATTTTATTCTATTGCGGAGAAACGTGATTTAGGGCTGAAAAGTTTTTGAAGTATGAAAATATTAATGTCGTTTAGGAGGGGCATGCAAATTTACAGCAGATGGAGGCTGTGAAAACCGAAACTTCATTAAAAACGTTTTTACATAGAATTACACTGTTTTATATGTATGCTTGTGGATGAGTGTTTGATGAGCGTGTTGCATTCTATGCCAAAAGTGAAAAACAAAAGAATGTACAAGCTATTTTTTTTTGGGGGGGGGGGGGGGATAACTTGTGTTAAAGACCGATGACCAGTTTAAGCTTTCCACTTTCCCCTCGCTTCCTCCTCTCCCCCTTCTACCCTGTCCACCGTTGCCTATTTCTTCCTCTCCCATAATGGGGAGGATCTTCTACCTTGCAGAATCTCAAGTCTGGTCGTCAGCCTTTAACTTATTTTGAATTAGAAATTTTATGATGCATTTTTGTACTTTACGCAATATTTCAAGCAAATAGTCTTTATTTGAAGTGTATTTGTGTATTTTATACGCCTTTCATTGCACCTTGATGTATGGCTTGGTGGTTGCGGAGTTCTTTTCATTTTAGCGCGATCTTCACAAACAGAAACCTGCCGTCTCGCCTACACGAATGCAGTTCATTCCGTACATTTCAATGTTTACAAGAATCACAGCCTACACGTGTTAGGTCACAGCCCAGCATGCACATGTTCATCGCTTTGGAAGGCGAGCAAAGTACGCACCACAGGTTTGAACGCTGAAAATGGCACCGACCAGAAGAGCTTTTCTGGAATGCTCTATAGATATTTTGCTAAACTACTTAAGCTCCAAGGAGCCTATGCATGCCAGAAGGGTAGTTACACATGCAGGCGTCTGCAACAGTAACTTCCTAAAGAAATTCTAAAACAAATGGCATGTACCTTCAGGTAAAAGACGAGCCTGCGAGGCATTTGTGTCCCCATTTCGAGCATTACTCTCCGTGGTGCTTAGGTAATTTGTCCAAAAAAATTTATTGCTTGACTTGTCGACCTTTCTTTGCCAGCATAACTGCCACCTTCTGATAGAAGAAGAATGGATCTCCCAGCGATTGCACGAAACTAGAGAGCCGCGGCTCGAGCGCACCAAGTTGCAAAAACGATTTTCTCAAAATCCCAAATGCTTCCTTTTTTTTCTTTTTTCTGTTTTTACTTTCTCGTAGTTCAGCACATAGGCCAGGGCCATACTTTGTGCAAATAGAGGTTATTATCAACTTCAAATAGCACGAACGCCCAGGTTTTCTTGCTGTTAGATGCGAGAAAGGTGGGCGCAAGCATAACCAGTTGCCGGCCGCGTGCCTCGCTGCCTGCCGGTGACGTCATGTTCGGGCGACGGGGAAAACTGGGGAAAAACTAGGAAAAACAATGTATCAGTTTCGGCAGCGAACAAAATATCACTTTTTTTATTTAACTAGAGTGGATCTGGGGGAACGAGATAGCGTTTCAAAATCAGGAAGCCATCCGCATTCAAATGATGCCTTTGGATTAGGTAGTTCCAAAAATCGGCGCAGTTCCCCTTTAAACACCAACCAACATGAAGAAACAAGGGGGCATACCCTTGCCAACCCCCGTTTTCTTGTCACCGTGTCTAATGCAGCAAGAAAGAAAAAGATAACACGTTTTCTTTACGACGCCGTTTAGAATTGGAAAACATTAATTCAGCGGGCACTTAGTAATCCCGCTGAGTGAGAAATGCAGAAGATGAGACATGAAGAGCACTCCATTATGTTCACCCTTAAGCCAATAGTGCGGTGCAAGCTACATGTTCGTCGGTCACGTCATTCGTCTACGTTTCACCACATGATCGCGTTACCACCACACGGAGAAGATGAGAGCAAGGTGAGGGAATGAAAGGGAAGCGTTTGGTTGGTACGGCATGCAGGTAGCTCCCACCGCTCTGTCATGGGTGTTCAATCACGAGTTCACAATAGGCAGACATTTATTTTTCAAAACTCTAGCTATGGGTTTAGAATATTTCCAACTAAAAAAGTTTGAGCGACAAAACTTTTCGAGGTATTTAAGGTAAAGGTTGATCTGCATGGGAATTTTTAGCATGCTCTCCTTGCTTCCTCTATTTCTGGGGATTTCTCAATTACCTGAAAAATGGTCGTTACATTTCAATGCAATTTCAATGGGTAGAGTCTCCAATTTGTAGACTCTACCCAGATTTGTAGCTGGTCAATCTTACAAATAGATCACTGCTCGCGACTCCAGCTGTCTATAGGTGGTGCCACTCGTTTTCAAGAATAAAGGTTATAGTGAGGGTTGGAGATGCGTGCTGGTATAGCAGTTGCTGAGCCCGTCTAGTGTGCTGGCTTCACAAAGCGAAACAAGTTATTTCCGCTTATGAGGAAGCTGGGGGTGTTATGCGGACAGGTTACCTCTTTATCCTGAAAACAAAAACGGTGGTTAACGTAATATTTACACTACGAGGCACGTTATAATTAAGGAACGAAACCCAAACTTGCGTCTATTTTGGATTTAATTTCTCGGTATAGGTATTAATTATGGTTCACTCAAGATGTGTTTCACCGCGTAATTATTAAGCTAAAGAAGTTTTTTGCGGAAACCTTATTTTGTGACATGTTTACGATCCAGGCAGTTCGAAATATTTTGGAGAGTTCAGTGGTAACATAGAATATAGTATTTGTTAAAAGAAATCAGTGTTGATATTTCTGTGTTCTTGCTGCCTTTTCTCGCTCAGATACCGTATTTACTCGCATAATGAATGCAATCGCATAATGAACACACCCCCCACAACGGGTACCAATATTTGGACTTTTTTTCCCCTCGCGTAGTAAATGCACCTTTAATTTCCAGCTCCGCAAGTCTCGAATTTAGTACTTAGAACTTAGTAGCTAGCAACCAAGCCCACTAAGCCAATTTTATTTTGCTGCCAAGCAGTCAGGACAAGTCAAGTCAAGTCAAGCCAAACCAAGCCAAGCTGCTCTGGTAATGGCTGCAAGTACGTAGTTGCAGAAATGATCAACCGTGAAACCAAGTGGCATGCACACTTCATGAAGCTTGGGTCGAGGAATCGCCCAGCCCCGAGACTCTTCGCATATCGGATGCATTGATGTGAATAAACACGCTGTCGTCTGTGGTCCACTTTCGGACAGTGAAATCGTGGAAGTGGTTAGGCCTAAGAATGGCCGCATTGCTCTTCATGCTAAGTGAGCTTCGTAGGGCACTTTTCCTTCGACAAAAGGCACTCCGGAGGCGCCCTACAAAGGTTCACAATTTATAAAGCATGGTTACTGTGGCATGTCCCTGACCAGCTGTGGGTGCGCCTCCATCAGACGAGACGTGCCAAGGTATCTGGCAGTGTCATATTGGCACCTAATGTGACATTTGCTCGAAATGTGTAAATGCAAAAATGTTACCCTGCGTAATGAATGAACCCCTCAAATATGTGTCAATTTTTCAGCAAAACAAAATGTGTTCATTATGCAAGTAAATATGGTAATTGTCGTGCAAAATGATTAAACTGTGGGCATTTCAATGAATTTTTTTCCATATTTACATGATTAATTGCTTTCAGATTATTCCCAGCACAAGAATAACAAAATAAATCTAAATTTTAAAAATATTGCCATGGGAGATGAGTTTAGCATATTTTCACAAAACATATAAATTAATAAATGCTGTTCTCACTTCAAAAACCCCAAAACAAAATCCAAGTCAGACAACGAAGTCTGTGTGTTTTTAAGGCAATACACATACGACTTTATATTACATCCAGTGTCTATGTCTATCTTGATGACGATGTAAAGGTTTTCATATGCTAAGAAGAAAACAAAATGTATCCTTTCTGTAAAGACTATTATGGTCAAATGGCACATTTTTGTGATTGTGGCCTTCCTTGGGGACCTACATTACCGCAATTTGTAATATTAATGTACAACTAAAATATTTTAGTACCTACCGTAAAATAACATGCATCTGTCCCCCCCTCCCCCCCCCCCCCATTCTACACTAAGCATCTTCCCAAAACAATAGAAACATCTGAAAAAATATGCACAGTACATATTTATGTAAGATTGATGACTTCACACGTGCCCATCTTCTATATTTTCGCAATTATCTTCAAATTTTGAGTGGGCACTTGCTCACTATTTTATGGTATTTTTTCAAGCTCTAATTTAATTTGTTGCTTATGACCTAATTTCAAATGCGTGAACATCTATGGCAAACCAAAGATGGCATATTATGATTACTAGTGCCAATTGCAGTATCTTTAATTGAAGGGTTATAGAATAAAAAGAGTCTAAAACCTACAAAAACATTCTAGCTAGCCTGAGAAATCCATGTAAAATGACATTAGTTGTGGGTGAAGTATACATATGGTGCTACCAAAGTCGCCACATTTGACAACTGTATTTCCAAATTCGCTGCCAATTCTTCCGCGCCAAACGTTCAAAAAAAAAAAAAAAAAACGAATTCCGTCAGTTTTTTTTTAAATTAAAAACTTATCAGAACATTTATTTCTTCAATATTTATATGCCCTCCTTTTGCCCATTTCAGCCTTTTAAAGGGGCCCTGCAATCATATTTAAGCATCTATCTTTTTTGTGGTTTCCACACCTCTTGGAGTTCGGGCAAGCCAGCGGGCACGGAGAGAGTAACTAAATATCAGTGCATCACATTTTAACCAGACGACACGGAAACCTCCTCCACCTACGGGGGCGACCCACGGTGCCGAAAGCGCACCGTGGGTCGCCCCCGTAGGTTGATTTTGGGCTTACTACTGGTCAGAGCCGCTAAAAGCTTCTTTTTATTCGAAATACAAAATATAAGTGGCGTGAACCGCTTAAATCATTTATAAAAGTAGTTTTTGTTAGGTATTTTAGATCAGAAAAGAAGCAAATGCAGTTTATAAAGTATGAAAACAAGAAATGACCCATTGACATACCTGCCACCAAGCGGTGGAAAGGCGGCGCATACTAAAAAGGTGCAGTGGGATTAGGCACCGACGAGCGGCGAGCGTGAAAGGTCCCGGATGTATGCAACGTTTGTGGCCAGTGAAGTGTCACGCCGAATTATTGTTTAATCGCGCAGCAAATGTAATACGAGCCGCCCTGGCTGCCCGCTTCATAGGGCCTATCCAGAAAATACTTTAGCGGTGCCCTTTCGAGCCGTCAGCACGGAGTGGAGCAGCCGTGAGTGCTCGCTAAGCTCACTACCCCTCCTTTAGTTCACGGCCACTCAAGCGACCAAGGGCATCATGAAGGAGGTTATTCTTTGCTTGTTTTTGTAATTTGAATTTGCCTATAACTTTCAAACCAAAGCGAAATTTGAGAAAAGACAAGGTTCATTAAAGGGAAGCTACGGAGCTTCTTGAAAAAAATGAGTTAGAAGTGAATTCTAGTGTATTTTTACCCCATGAACCCGAATACCGAAACCACTTGCTGCGTAAGTACTGTTAAACGCGAGAAAAACGCGAAAGACAGTCGCTGTCCGTGACGTCATCGACGGCTCTTTTGGCTGCCCAAGGCTAAGGAGGCGGGGCTTCAGCCCTATTTTGAAATTGCTCTTGTGGCTCTCCGGCGCGTCGCATTGAAATATAATTTTGATATTTGTTATTCTAAAGGCCAAATGAACGCAATTCAAGCATTTTTTCTCAAATGTAGAAGTGCCCCATCTTCCCTTTAAGTTACTACTTTCAGTGCGCTCAGGTTCAGTGCAAATTAAAAACCAGTAAAAAAAGTCCTTGCAGGGCCCCCCTAAGCTCGCAGGAATGCCTACACGCCAGCTGACTACAGCGAGTTTCGTTGGCCTTGGAAAACATGTGAAAAAGTAGTGAGTTTTAATATTGCGTATAGGAGCGAATGCAAGCACTTTGTGTTTGCGATGGCATTGCATTTTCCACACTGCACGCATGCAAAGCCCGAAATTGCGGTCGTACATTGGCACATGGCGACGATGCACATGTGCAGCGTGGAGCATGCACCTGTTACGTAAATGAACAGCACTTGCTTCTATATGCAACATTAAAACTGTCTAGTAAAGTAAAATCCAATGTAGGCTGCAGAGCCCCATGGGGGACAATCAAAACTGTTGCATACAATCAGAAATGGCTGTTCGCGAGACTTGATTGCGAGCAGTTTTACCGTGCCCACTGAGCAGAAGAACCGAGGCAGCCTCTTTAGAGTGCTTCCCGTTTCTGCCGAAAGAAGGCGAGCAACGAGCTGCAGGTGCGAGTATGTAGGATTGCAATAAGTGTAAACTCGAAAGAATACGACAGCCTCTTGACCTGGTACAAAAATAGAAGACCAGCATTCTAACAAATTGGCACTGAGTACCAGACTTGAAGCTCTAAAGACAAAGCAGGCTAACTCTGAATAATTCAACTACGCTAAAAAAAGTACCAGGGCTAAGCACTCGTGTTCCCTGCCTTTGGGCTTTTCTTCGAACTATGGGAACAAGGTAGCTTTTACTCGTTGCAGCTAATTACAATGACGAGGTTACGTTGATTATGACAAAATTGTGTGCAGTCGAGCTTGCCTTGCTTCACGACGCAGCTCTTGTTGTGTCCTTCCAGGTCCGGCTGAGAGCAATACACTCTGTCACAGTCCTCTGAAGGGAAAGCTCCGCCCGTTGGAGTGGGCAGTATCTCGTCCGGCACTGCTGGGGAGAATAACACGCCACTGTTGCCGACAGCCGAAGTCGAAGGGAGGCGTGAATCTGCTCACACGACTTTAGACAGGGTGAGAGAGAAATAAATTATATTTTCTCAACGAGACAATTTTGATGCTCACAAGAAGACCTAAATTTCTGTATTTCTGCCATCAATCGTCACTCGAGTGAACGGGATGCCCATGCAGCATCCTTTTTGAGAATGACAGGTTCTCGAATACTGTAGTCACGCTCAGGGTACAGAGGGTCAAACTTAGTAAATGAGTTATTCAAGCATAAATATCATGGTGCATTCACAAACTTTCACGCCATTACACCTTGGATTTCATCAGTAAATGAAAAAACAATGTTTCTATTGTGCCGATACGTCAAGCCACGAAAGGGAAGACAACAAAGCAATCTAGCCTTCTTACTGATGGCATTGATACTTCCTACAAGAATAAGTAAGTCAGAAGAGCTTGCCTTCAATAACATGAAGGGAACCATCCCTCCGCTGTCCCTCCGGCAGCACTGGCAAAAATGACATGGTGTCAAAGGCCTCAGAGGTCTCGCCCTCATCTTCCATCCCAAGGGCAGGAGCAAACTCATCTGGTTCTGTTTACAAAGAAGCACGAGATACCCGTCCATTATATTTCACAAAAAAAAACAAGATTGAAAACGAGGAATGATTTAATCTTTATCGAGCATCTTCAGTCGTTTTGCTCGCAATAGCACACATACCCTATCTGGGCACTTTCCACTGCAACAGGGAGAGTGACAGTTAGCAGCCATAGGCTGCAATCTAGCTCAGGGAAACTGAGAGGGCACGACATGGCAGCTTGTTTTCTTGGTGTACTCCACTGATTTTTTGAGCTACTGAATCCAAAAACAATGCCTGAATGCGGGTGGCTTCCTGATTCTGAAATAGTATCTCGTTCCCCCTGATACACTCTAGTTAATTAAAAAAAAAGTTACATTTTGTTCGCTACCGAGACCGAAACTACATTCTCAGTAGTTTTTTCCCAGTTTTCCCCGCCATCCATACAAAACGTCACTGGCAGAAAGCAAGGGCCCAGACCTCTGTTCCACTGCAGGTGTGCAAAAACAAGCGGCGATTCTAAGCAAAATAACAATTGAAAGGAATATGGAGTGTGTTCAAGGTTTTCCGGCATTCCAGTGACACCTGTGTACAGGGGACCGTAAAATAGTTCGATATATTGATAATTTGATATACAAAAACATCCTAACTTCAGCTCCAGTTGAAACTTCCGCGTGTCTCTGCTAATACCGAAGGCCGCGACAAACGAGAAATGACAAAACGGGACCTTACCAAATAGAGCCTCTAAGAGCCGCTAAATACAGCAGAGCTTAGATGGTAAAGATCACAAACACCGCAATCGTTTACGCCTAGTCACGACCTCCACACAGCGCCGGCAACAAAACACGAAAATAGTTTTAAAAAAAATGAGAAACAAGCAAACGAGCTGCATAAAAAAAAAAAAAAAAAAACCTCGATCTATACATCTTTCCAAAAAACACTCCTAGGCCGCCACCATATTGCTGATGCGGCTGGTGCGACTCTCGAGCCCTCTATCAGCTTGAAAGTTTCTGTCACTCTCTTGAACTGTGAAGACCCGATCAGCGCGGGTCTCTACCTTCGTTTTTGCAGTTTTGCATTCAATGTTTTCTAACCCCTCTTTAAAGTTTCCACTTAATTTTTTTCTTTTATGCGTGCTGCATACCCTTTTTGTTTTATCTTCCATTGTGAGAAATAAGGCTGGTAAGTGCCTGGCCATTCACAGGAAACGAAGGAGGCGAAGGACGCCGAACGGCCCTCGACGCGATTTTGCGAACATTGTTCTCCTTCCCCCAGACATAATCCGCGTAGAATCCTCAGTCATCTCCAAAAATAGTTGTCCGGGTTGGGGTGGGAAATGGGTCAGTCGCATTCGTTCCTTTGCCTCGGTGCTGTTGTGAAAAAAGAAGCTCTCCCCAAAACCTGCCCCGAAACGAAGTCATCTTGGATTCTGTCCGATCATCAGGATGTGACTGTGTCATTCGAGATCTTTCTCAAATAAATATTTTTTGGATAACGCTGCATCGTGTGGTATGTACAATATATTGTTTGAATGTTAACACTCGCTAAATTGCATGTCCGTGTCCTTTCCATCGGTAAACACGTTATTTGTGAGCGTGAAAAATGCATGCCTTTCGGCTATCTTCTGTTGTAAATTATTCTCGACAGTTAAGCGCTTTGTCGTTTGACATGCAGCGAATTGCACGGCGCCGTCAAAACTTATTGTAAAAAAAACAAAAAAATTAGAGCTATACGTTTCAGTCGCATTCCTTATTACGTGGCCTTTATTATTTATTTATTCTATATTACGTGGCCTTTATTTATTTTGATCGTACATGCACAGTTACCAATCCAGTGTTACTGCATAGTTCTTCCCCACCTCTCTTGGTTTTCTAGATGTCCTTTTTTCGTATGACAAGTATATCCCCCAAGCTGGAAAGCACCAACTCTGTGTTCGCGCTAACAGTGTCCGACAGTGGATATAAATGTATGTATGAAGCCGTTTTAGCACAGTTCTAAATGCAATGAATTATCGCCAAATTTGTAAGTGTGTCAATTGTGCCCTACATTGGTGCTTTAATTTGAAACAAGGAGGTTTACTTGCGAAACAAAATAGGCATGACGTGGAATTGCAGTTTCCCAACAATTCAGATCTGCAAGCGGCGCAAATGGGATGTTTCAGATGTGATTCAAGATTAGATTGTGTCACGATCGCAATTAAATTTGCGTGCTATGAGGTGGTGGCATTCAATACTCTTTTTCTAGTTTGTGTGCTTGATCTTTTTTTTTTTTTTTGTGGAATGGTAAAACTGTGAGGTGTTTCTCGCATGGTATGTCTCAACGTCACTGCACTAACGTCGGAAAAAAAACGCTATTCCTTCGGCTCCGTGCCTACTGCTCATTTTTGCCCGGATATACTGAATATTAGAGTGACCGAATACTAGGAATTTGATTCATGAATCAAATTATTTGGGAACTTACTATTCGATTTGTATTTGTATATGTGAGTATTCGCAAACTTCTAAAAGCTAAAAAAAAGGACGAAAAAGATACAGACAACAAAGACGGCCACTCTCTGCCTGTCTCCTTCGGCGCTTTTCAATCCCATCAAAATCATGAACCCACTAGCTCAATCTAGAGTTATAATTCGGCTGTTTTTCAAAATATGTCTGTGAGGACTTGCCTTCCTTCACCCTGAGAAAAGCTGTCTCGCCTTTTTCCGGGAATTCGGGGGAAGAGTGGAGACAGACGGCATCTTCAAGGTAGCCATCCCCGCCGGTCGAAGCATCAGACAGGGGGTCCACCTCTGTCGAAGGAAATGCAAAAAAAATACTGTTCGATATCTGTGTGTAAAGTAAAGACCGCTTCACGCCCCTGCTCCTGCTTATGACCATGTGCCTTAAAACCCCTTAAATCTGTTTTGACAAGAAAACACACTAATGCCATCTGTCAAACAGCTGTGAAACCCTTTCAGTTTTTGTATATTTCCCATCTTTTACGGGCATTATACCTTCCTCCTTGGCTGGAAGACCTTTTGACAATGTTACAAACTACAATTTTTTTGCAGACAGAATGTAAACCTTTCGCTCTACAGTCAAACCTCATTATATTGAACACGGATATATAAAATTATTGCTTATATTGAATCGTTGTCGAACTACCATAAGAATTACATGCATTTAAAATTTTTTATAGCGAACTCGGTCGGTTAAAAAATGAATATATCAAACTCCGCAGCACCAGAAAGCCGCGCTCCGGAGACAGGCGGCAGGCTTTCCCGCAGCACATCGGAGGATATGCGGGCTTTCCCGCAACACAGCGTAGGATAGCGACGGCGAAGCAGGTGTTTGTGACTTTTATTCAAGCGCATGCCCGCATAAATCTTTATGCCTCTGGTGCCATCCAGATTCGGCGGCATACGGGCTCAGTCCAGTCAGCTCAATCCTATCGCCAGCATCGCTCTTTTCATGCCCTGTGCAGTTTCGTGGTTCCGGGTTCATTCCTCCGACGTTGCGTCAACCGCATGTGGGGATGGCAACAAACGTAAAGAAACGTACGTCGCTGACGTTCGTGACGAAGCTTGAAATCATCCGCCGGGTTGAAAAAGGAGAAAAAAAGTCCAGCGTTGCCGAAGCGTACAACATACCGCGAAGCACATTAAGCCCGCTGCTGAAGACGAAAAGTGACATCAAATCAAAGGCTGAACGAAGCAAGCATTCCGGCGCACGCCGTGTTCAGACACCGGCCTTTGAAAAGGTGGAAAGATCACTTCACAAGTGGTTTATGGACGCAAGGACTTGGAATATGCCGGCATCAGGCCAATGCTTCAACAGAAAGCAAAGGACTTCGCGTTCATCCACCAAGCACAAAGCGTCGCCGCAAGTAGCGGGTGGCTGCAACGCTTCAAAGCCTGTTACAACATTGTCGGGAAGACAGTCTCGCTTTTACGCCGCTACTGCAGTGCAATCGACGGTAGTGATCTGGCGCTGGTGGACCGCTTGGAGACAGTGGAGCCGGCCGCTATAAGGCATGCGGTCAGCTCTATGCAGCAATCTACGCTGCGGCAGTTTTTTACGCCGGAATCAATAGTTCACCTTAACGCTTCATGTGAGTACTAGTAATTTTTTGCCGTTAGCCTTTTACTGATTAAATCGCGCTGTACTTTGACGATTTTTTTGTGTGTGACTTTATATATCAAATTTTGATTATATCGAACTATTTCACGGTCCTCGCTCTGTTCGATACAACGAGGTTCGACCCTAGTAAAATGCAGTTCCAAGGTCACCTGACAGATGCCTCCAGCGTGCAGTGTGTTCTCTAGACGTAAGACATCACGTGAACTCGATCCTAAGCGAACGCAAGTGCGTGATTGGGCCTTATGAACTCAGCCAACGGCTGTTTATCTTGAGAACAAAAGTGACTTATCAACATTTAGTTTCTTGTATACTATATAATGCTGCGTGTAAATCAACCACTCTAAATTCCAGCGCCCGTTAACGAAAGAAAACAATGAGGGAAAATTGGTTACCGTATTTTCCCAATTGTAAGTCAACTCGATTGTAAGTCTGGCCCGGGGGTGGCCAAACCGCGGCTCGCGAGCCGCATGCGGCTCTTTGCTGGTCCAAGTGCGGCTCGCAGATCCCTCATAAAAGAACACCCCCCCCCCCCCCCCCCCCTTCGCCCCTTTCCGCGTTTCCCCAGGAAAAAAAAAAGAAAGGATTTCAGAATAAAGCACACTGCAGCTTGCAGTTTGGCAGCCTTGTACTGCCATACGTACAGTCATACAGCCTTGTGCCCCCATATGTAGAATCAGACTCTAAACAAAAGTCAAGTTTGCCCCCCCCCCCCCCCCCCCCCCCCCCCCCCCCCGCGGCTCTTAGGAAGTTCCGTGGTTTTGTCTGCGGCTCTTAGGCCGGGCAAGCCTGGCCACCCCTGCTCTAGCCCCTCACATTGCATGTCAGCAAAACGAAAACAAATTTATAGTTTAGGGGCACACTGTATGGCGAACTCGGGAGAACTGCAGGGCGCCTCTTTAAAAACGCCTAGCCTACACCGCGCATTCAACACCTTCCGGCCTGCTTTAGTTGCCCACGCGCGCACGAGATGCCAAAGCATTATTCAAGTTAGGAAGCTCACGTTGGATGCGAGACAACTGGAACTCCTCTATGTCGTTCTCTTATGTCTTTTGTCCGTCTGGGGCTGTCCTTCCTGTCGTCATCACTCCTATGTTCCCAAAAAAAACGTCGTCGGCTTTGCCCAAGGAAATCTCGCATTTTGCAAACGACCGCATGAACCGCATCTTTCGCGCTCGCTCGGTGATTGCATTGCACCTCATGGGTCGGGATTACCGCGCACTTCTGTGACATACGTTGCAAGCTCAACCTACGACTCCGTAAGCATCCACACTTATCGAAATTCTGGCCCACGGAAGCCTCTTCGTTTGCCGTCGCAGTTAAGAGATCTCGTGCCGTTGCGAATGCCACTGGCGCTCCACCTTTTCCAACAGATCAAACTTGCATCCAGCAGCACAGTTGTCGGTCGCGTTCGGATGAAGGATGGCCATCCACAAGTATTGAAAACCTAAACTGCCTGGTTGAGACAAGCAGATACAGAGAAACATTGTCTGCTCTCCAGCCCGGTCACACGATCACGACTCAATCGAACAACTTGTGACCGTGCAACGCGAGAAAACAAGCAGCGAGGAGTGAGACCGTTCCAACGTAGCTCTTAAATCAAGTACCGCCACCTCTGGGACTCGAGCTACCGTACATTCGAGCTGGTTTGCAAATCCTGACCACCATAGCCATTATACTCCTTCGTGAAAAGGAAAAGACTAAAATTGTGAAACGAGCACAAAGAATGGCCATATGCTAATGGTAGAGCCGGCTGAACTCATAACAAGTCAAGATGTCCTTGATATCGTGTGTTTCATCCTTGTCGGGGGTAGGAAATGCTTTGGTTCCGATTACGCGTATTTATCCCATAGCCCTGAAACATTTTCAATCTGTATCTATTTCTTGAACGTGACGAAACGTTTCGCAGTATTTGCGAGATCAGATCTACAAGAAACCTTTGCGTATAACACATGCAAAATTACTTTGAACACATGGTAAAAAAAAAAAAGAAAAAGTGATGCATGGAAAATGAAGAATTATGTAGAATGGAAGTGGAGCTTTCCTACTTTGCCAATTCTGCAATAGTTTCTATGTCCAAAATTGTTCCCTTATAAGCAGCAATATGTGGTTATTGTTTCTTCCAATATGTCTAGCTTCCTCAAAAGAGGGAGACATCACTTCTGCTCACATTTGGTTCAAACAAAAAACATTCTTGAAGCAACATGACAACATTCTAAAGAGCTCACTTTCTTTCACCGCACAAGCTCTGCCTTCCTCTCCCTCCAAGTGCAGCGGAGTGGTGGACACTCCACTGTAGTCCTCGGAACACAAGCTTTCTTTGGTTGGAGTATCAAGTATCTCCTTGGGCTCTGTTGGGAGAGACGGCAGAGGAATGTTGCACCGAGTCCAGTCCAAAGCAGAGTCATATTCGAGTGACAGAGTGGTGACGTCCATCGTTACTCTCAACTGATCGCATGGCCTATGGCAAAAAGCCATACGCTTAAGACCAACTAGAGTCCACATGATATAACAAACAAGATCTGCTCTAGTACAAGGTTGATAAACTAGACATTAACATCGCACGTAAGTTCATAATATTATGTTACATCATCTTCCTTGGGTATGCGTGCTGGGAGGTTATTCCAGTCGAATATTGTTTGTGCTTGAACGGTTGTGCATAAAGAGACGAGTGGAATGTGATGCGCTCATATGAGTGATCCCGACATGCAAAAATAATGTGACCTGCCTGACGGATGCCTTAAAATTTCGCAAAATTTTCCTTAAAGAGAAACTGAAGCGGTTCTGTATTTTTGTAAAAACACCTAAATTGTCTTCATTTGGCCTCTAGAATCACGAATATTTGGATTATTTTTCGATTTGATGCACAAAGGCTGCAGAAATTAATTTTTAAAGTACCGCTGAAGCCCCTCCCCTTCCCGCGGCGGGACGTCATACCAGGAGCTTTCGGAATCTCTGCCCTCGCGCATCTCCGGCGCCTGTCAAAGTTATGCATGCGCACTCCTGCTATTTTCAAAAAGTTCAGAAAGAGACGCCATGACTGGTGTCAGTGCAAAAAAATATAACTGACAAACTTGCTATTGCAAGTTTGCCAGTTTTAAACTATTGAAAATAGTTAAAAAAAAAATGAAAAACAAAAAAACGAGCTGCATAAAAAAAAAAAAAAAAAAAAAAAAAAAAAAAAAAAAAAAAAAAAAAACCTCGATCTACACATTTTTTCAAAAAACGCTCCTAGGCCGCCACCATGTTGCTGATGCGGCTGGTGCGACTCTCGAGCCCTCTATCAGCTAGAAAGTTTCTGTCACTCTCTTGGACTGTGAAGACCCGATCAGCGCGGGTCTCTACACCTCTTTAAAGTTTCCACTTAATTTTTTTTTATGTGTGCTGCATACCCTTTTTGTGTTATCTTCCATTGTGAGAAATAAGGCTGGTAAGTGCCTAGCCATTCACGGGAAACGAAGGAGGCGAAGAACGCCAAACGGCCCTCGATGCGATTTTGCAAACATTGTTTTCCTTCTCCCAGAGATAATCGGCGTAGAATCCTCAGTCATCTCCAAAAATAGTTGTCCGGGTTGGGGTGGGAAACGGGTCAGTCGCATTCGTTCCTTTGCCTCGGTGCTGTTGTAAAAAAGGAGCTCTCCCCAAAACCTGCCCCAAAACGAAGTCATCTTGGATTCTGTCCGATCGTCAAGATGTGACAGTCGTCGATTGTGACAGTGTTATTTGAGATCTATCTCAAATAAATTCTTTTCAGATAACGCTGCATTGTGTGGTATGTACAATATCTTGTTTGAATGTTAACACTCGCTAAATTGCATGTCCGTATCCTTTCCATCGGTAAACACGTTATTTGTGAGTGTGAAAAATGCATGCCTCTCGGCTATCTTCTGTTGTAAATTATTTTTGACAGTTAAGCACTTTGTCGTTTCACATGCAGCGAATTGCACGGTGCCGTTAAAACTTATCGTAAAAAAAAAAAAAACTAGAACTATACATTCCAGTCGCATTCGTTCTGTCGCGCACATACCCAACAAAAATAGTTTATAGGTTTTTATTGATTTTTTCTTGTTTTTTTCAAATGTGGTACAATGCTTTCTCAATGACCTTGGGAAAATAAATGCACATGAAACAGAAAATACAGCGCGAAAAGACGAGAATTTAGCCGCCAGCAGTGTTTGAAACTGCGCTTACACAGGCTGCGCCTATCGAAATCACAGTCCACTCGGTTAGGGTTAAGAGGGATGCCGGTGAGAGTCTAGCCCAGGGGTGGCCAAGCTGCGGCTCCTTGTGTGCTAAAGTGCGGCTCGCGGCTCACTCCATAACCCCCCCACTTCCCCGCCTTTCTCCCGGTCATACGAGCACGTCCCCAAAAAGAGAAATGGAACGTGAGCTAAATCGAAAGGCAGGTTGCGGTTTGGTAGTCTTGTGCTACTACCATCTTACGTACATTAGAACTGTTTTTGACTGGGATAGATTGAAAGTAGTTCGAGTTACGTTTATTGCTCAAGACAAGCGTTTACCCCCCCCCCGCGGCTCTTGGAGGCTTCGTGGTTTTGTTTGCGGCTCTTAGGCCAGATCAGCCTGGCCACCCCTGGTCTAGCCTCAAACCCAGTGAATGGGCTCGAAAACGGTTTGCTGCCTCTGGGGTCGAGTGTTTCTTGGAAAGGTGTATGGCAGAGGTGGCCAGGCTGACCCGGCCTAAGAGCCACAAACAAAACATGAAACTTCCAAAAGCCGCGGGGGGGGGGGGTAGGGGGCATACTTTTGTTTAGAGCAATAAACTAAACTCGAAATACTTTCAATCTATCCGAGTCAAAATAAGTCCAACTGTTTGTAAGGTAGCATGCCGTAGCACAAGACTACCAAACCGCAACTTGTCTTCTGATTTAAAACACATTCGATTTCTCTTTATGGGGAAGTGCTCGCGTGACCCGGAGGGAAGTGGGGGGGGGGGGGGGGGGGGGGACCGCAGCTTGGCCACCCCTGATATATAGAATAAAGGTAAGCAAGAAAAAAAGAAAAGAAACCTCGCTAAATTCAGGCAGCAAAAAAAAAAAAAGAAAGGAAAAAAAAAAAAGAAAAACGGGCAAAGCAAAAACATTGAAAAAAAAAAGGTAAACAAAGATAAGGAGTTCAAACTGCGATTGCTCTACCGTTGTTGTCGACACACTCAACTTGATGAAAACTTTTTTGTTTTGATTATTTTATTTTGGACTTGGGGCTAAGGAGTCGCGCAGCGAACGCGGTGTTCGGGGAAAGAGCACACGCTACCATTCCAACCCCCTGCCCTTCCCCTTGCTTTTGCCATCCTCCAATTTTTTTTTTCTTTTTTTTTTTATGGTTCTTTTTTACAACTGGTCTTTCCCTGCGTATCCCAGTGCGCGCATGCTGGCTTGGTGTTTTGTCAGCCCTGCAACACGAGAAGCGACTGGCACCCGTGCGAATGGCCGTGCTTCGTTCACTAGAGCGAGTGTCCCCAGCATGAGAGTTTGATACAGAAAGGCAACGCTCCTATACTATTACGTGTGATTTTAAAGGGGATGTTTGGACTGTTCGATATAAACAATAATTAAAAATACCCGGGTGTGATATAACCGCGCTCGACTGTATTGCTATTATGACAGTCCTGTCACTGGTACAAGAAAATGACCCCCAGCAGGTGATGTTTTGAACGTAGAACAAGCATCTTTACATAGAGCAGAAAGGATAAAACAGTACTTACTATCTAACTATATTATGTGGCTTTTATTTAATTTGATCGTACATGCACAGGGAGTTACCAATCCAGTGTTACTGCATAGTTCTTCCCCCCCTCTCTTAGTTTTCTAAATGTCCTTTTTTCGTATGACAAGTATATCCCCCAAGCTGGAAAGCACCAACTCTGTGTTTGTGCTAACAGTGTCCGACAGTGGACATAAGTGTACGTATGAAGCCGTTTTAGCACAGTTCTAAATGCAATGAATTATTGCCAAATTTGTAAGTGTGCCACTTGTGTCCTACATTGGTGCTTTAATTTGAAATAAGGAGGTTTACTTGCGAAACAAAATAGGCATGGCGTGGAATTGCAGTTTCCCAACAATTCATATCTGCAAGCGGCGCAAATAGGATGTTTCAGATGTGATTCAAGATTAGATTGTGTCACGATCGCGATTAAATTTGCGTGCTATGAGGTGGCGGCATTCAATACTTTTTTTCTAGTTTGTGTGCTTGATCTTTTTTTTTTTTTGTGGAATGGTAAAACCGTGAGGTGTTTCTCGCATGGTATGTCTCAACGTCACTGCCCTAACGTCGGGAGAAAAAACAGCTATTCCTTTGGCTCCGTGCCTACTGCTCATCTTTGCCCGGATATACTGAATATTAGGGTGACCGAATACTAGGAATTTGATTCACAAATCGAATTATTTGGGAACTTACTATTCGATTTGTATTTGTATATGTGAGTATTCGCAAACTTCTAAAAGCTAAAAAAAGGGACGAAAAAGATACAGACAACACAGACGGCCACTCTCTGCCTGTCTCTTTTGGCGCTTTTCAATCCCATCAAAATCATGAACCCACTAGCTCAATCTAGAGTTATAATTCGGCTGTTTATCAAAATATGTCTGTGAGGACTTGCCTTCCTTCACCCTGAGAGAAGCTGCCTCGCCTTTTTCCGGGAATTCGGGGGAAAAGTGGAGACAGACGGCATCTTCGAGGTAGCCATCCCCGCAGGTCGAAGCGGCAGACAGGGGGTCCACCTCTGCCGAAGGAAATGCAAAACAAATACTGTTCGATATCTGTGTGTAAAGTAAAGACCGCTTCACGCCCCTGCTCCTGCTTATGACCATGTGCCTTAAAACCCCTTAAATCTGTTTTGACAAGAAAACACACTAATGCCATCTGTCAAACAGCTGTGAAACCCTTTCAGTTTTTGTATATTTCCCATCTTTTACGGGCATTATACCTTCCTCCTTGGCTGGAAGACCTTTTGACAATGTTACAAACTACAATTTTTTTGCAGACAGAATGTAAACCTTTCGCTCTACAGTCAAACCTCATTATATTGAACACGGATATATAAAATTATTGCTTATATTGAATCGTTGTCGAACTATCATAAGAATTACATGCATTTTAAATTTTTTTATAGCGAACTCGGTCGGTTAAAAAATGAATATATCAAACTCCGCAGCACCAGAAAGCCGCGCTCCGGAGACAGGCGGCAGGCTTTCCCGCAGCACATCGGAGGATACGCGGGCTTTCCCGCAACACAGCGTAGGATAGCGACGGCGAAGCAGGTGTTTGTGACTTTTATTCAAGCGCATGCCCACATAAATCTTTATGCCTCTGGTGCCATCCAGATTCGGCGGCATACGGGCTCAGTCCAGTCAGCTCAATCCTATCGCCAGCATCGCTCTTTTCATGCCCTGTGCAGTTTCGTGGTTCCGGGTTCATTCCTCCGACGTTGCGTCAACCGCATGTGGGGATGGCAACAAACGTAAAGAAACGTACGTCGCTGACGTTTGTGACGAAGTTTGAAATCATCCGCCGGGTTGAAAAGGAGAAAAAAAGTCCAGCGTTGCCGAAGCGTACAACATACCGCGAAGCACATTAAGCACGCTGCTGAAGACGAAAAGTGACATCAAATCAAAGGCTGAACGAAGCAAGCATTCCGGCGCACGCCGTGTTCAGACACCGGCCTTTGAAAAGGTGGAAAGATCACTTCACAAGTGGTTTATGGACGCAAGGACTTGGAATATTCCGGCGTCAGGCCAATGCTTCAACAGAAAGCAAAAAACTTCGCGTTCATCCACCAAGCACAAAGCGTCGCCGCAAGTAGCGGGTGGCTGCAACGCTTCAAGGCCTGTTACAACATTGTCGGGAAGAGTCTCGCTTTTACGCCGCTACTGCAGTGCAATCGACGGTAGTGATCTGGCGCTGGTGGACCGTTTGGAGACAGTGGAGCCGGCCGCTATAAGGCATGCGGTCAGCTCTATGCAGCAATCTACGCTGCGGCAGTTTTTTACGCCGGAATCAATAGTTCACCTTAACGCTTCATGTGAGTACTAGTAATTTTTTGCCGTTAGCCTTTTACTGATTAAATCGCGCTGTACTTTGACGATTTTTTTGTGTGTGACTTTATATATCAAATTTTGATTATATCGAACTATTTCACGGTCCTCGCTCTGTTCGATACAACGAGGTTCGACCGTAGTAAAATGCAGTTCCAAGGTCACCTGACAGATGCCTCCAGCGTGCAGTGTGTTCTCTAGACGTAAGACATCACGTGAACTCGATCCTAAGCGAACGCAAGTGCGTGATTGGGCCTTATGAACTCAGCCAACGGCTGTTTATCTTGAGAACAAAAGTGACTTATCAACATTTAGTTTCTTGTATACTATATAATGCTGCGTGTAAATCAACCACTCTAAATTCCAGCGCCCGTTAACGAAAGAAAACAATGAGGGAAAATTGGTTACCGTATTTTCCCAATTGTAAGTCAACTCGATTGTAAGTCTGGCCCGGGGGTGGCCAAACCGCGGCTCGCGAGCCGCATGCGGCTCTTTGCTGGTTCAAGTGCGGCTCGCAGATCCCTCATAAAAGAACACCCCCTCCCCCCCCCCCCCCCTTTGCCCCTTTCCGCGTTTCCCCAGGAAAAAAAAAAGAAAGGATTTCGGAATAAAGCACAGTGCAGCTTGCAGTTTGGCAGCCTTGTACTGCCATACGTACAGTCATACAGCCTTGTGCCCCCCTATGTAGAATCAGACTCTGAACAAAAGTCAAGTTTGCCCCCCCCCCCCCCCCCCCCACGCGGCTCTTAGGAAGTTCCGTGGTTTTGTCTGCGGCTCTTAGGCCAGGCAAGCCTGGCCACCCCTGGTCTAGCCCCTCACATTGCATGTCAGCAAAACGAAAACAAATTTATAGTTTAGGGGCACACTGTATGGCAAACTCGGGAGAACTGCAGGGCGCCTCTTTAAAAACGCCTAGCCTACACCGCGCACTCAACACCTTCCGGCGTGCTTTAGTTGCCCACGCGCGCACGAGATGCCAAAGCATTATTCAAGTTAGGAAGCTCACGTTGGATGCGAGACAACTGGAACTCCTCCCTGTCGTTCTCCTATGTCTTTTGTCCGTCTGGGGCTGTTCTTCCCGTCGTCATCACTGCTATGTTCCCAAAACACGTCGTCGGCTTCGCCCAAGAAAATCTCGCATTTCGGAAACGACCACATGAACCGCATCTTTCGCGCTCGCTCGGTGATTGCATTGCACCTCACGGGTAGGGATTACCGCGCACTTCTGTGACATACGTTGCAAGCTCAACCTACGACTCCGGAAAGCATCCACACTTATCGAAGTTCTGGCCCACAGAAGCCTCTTCGTTTGCCGTCGCAGTTAAGAGATCTCGTGCCATTGCGAATGCCACTGGCGCTCCACTTTTTCCAACAGATCAAACTTGCATCCAGCAGCACAGTTGTCGGTCGCGTTCGGATGAAGGATGGCCATTCACAAGTATTGAAAACCTAAACTGCCTGGTTGAGACAAGCAGATACAGGGAAACATTGTCTGCTCTCCAGCCCGGTCACACGATCACGACTCAATCGAACAACTTGTGACCGTGCAACGCGAGAAAACAAGCAGCGAGGAGTGAGACCGTTCCAACGTAGCTCTTAAATCAAGTACCGCCACCTCTGGGACTCGAGCTACCGTACATTCGAGCTGGTTTGCGAATCCTGACCACCATAGCCATTATACTCCTTCGTGAAAAGAAAAAGACTAAAATTGTGAAACGAGCACAAAGAATGGCCATATGCTAATGGTAGAGCCGGCTGAACTCATAACAAGCCAAGGTGTCCTTGATATCGTGTGTTTCATCCTTGTCGGGGGTGGGAAATGCTTTGGTTCCGAATACGCATAGTTATCCCATAGCCCTGAAACATTTTCAATCTGTATCTATTTCTTGAACGTGACGAAACGTTTCGCAGTATTTGCGAGATCAGATCTACGAGAAACCTTTGCGTATAACACATGCAAAGTTATTTTGAACACATGATAAACAAAAAAGAAAAAGTGATGCATAGAAAATGAAGAATTATGTAGAACGGAAGTGGAGCTTTCCTACTTTGCCAATTCTGCAATAGTTTCTATGTCCAAAATTGTTCCCTTAAAAGCAGCAATATGTGGTTATTGTTTCTTCCAATACGTCTAGTTTCCTGAAAAGAGGGAGACATCATTTCTGCTCACATTTGGTTGAAACAAAAAACATTCTTGAAGCCACATGGCAACATTCTAAAAAGCTCACCTTCTTTCACCGCACAAGCCCCGTCTTCCTCTCCCTCCAAGTGCAGCGGAGTAGTGGACACTCCACTGTAGTCCTCGGAACACAAGCTTTCTCTGGTTGGAGTATCAAGTATCTCCTCGGGCTCTGTTGGGTATGACAGCAAAGGAATGTTGCACCGGGCCCAGTCCAAAGCAGAGTCATATTTGACTGACGAAATGGTGACGTCCATCGTTACTCTCAAGAGATCGCATGCATCTAGTATGTAAATACCTTTGGCAGAAAGTCATACGCTTAAGACCACCTAGGGTCCACATGATATAACGAACAAGATGTGCTCTGGTACAAGGTTGACAAGCTAGACATTATCATCGCAGATATGTTCATAATATTTTGTTACATCATCTTCCTTGGCTATGCGTGCTGGGAGGTTATTCCAGTCGATTATTGTTTGTGGTTGAATTGTAGTGCATAATAAGATGAGTGGCATGGGTGCGTACATATGAGTGATCCCGACATGAAAAGATAATGTGACGTACCTGACGGATGCCTTAAAAGTTTGCAAGATTTTCCTCAGACAGAAACTGAAACGGTTCTGTATTTAAGGAAGAACGCCTAAATCGTCTTCATTTGGCCTCTAGAATCACGAATATCTGGATTATTTCTCAATTTGATGCACAAAGGCTGCAGAAATTAACTTTTAAAGTACCGCTGAAGCCCCTCCCTTCCTGCGGCGGGACGTCATACCAGGAGCTTTCGGAATCTCTGCCCTCATGCATCTTCGCCGCCTGTCAAAGCTATGCACACGCACTCCTGCAATTTTCAAGAAGGTCAGAAAGAGACGCCATGACTGGTGTCAGTGCAAAAAAATATAACTGGTATGCTTGCTATTGCACACGCTGCCCACGCGAGCGACACGAGCTTGGTGACCCAAAGTGTCTAGTATGACGTTACGATTGGTCGTAGGTTTTTCGTGTTTTCTCGTGTTCCGTTACATCTTTGGGGAAAACAAACGTGATATTCAAATTCACGGGATAAAAATATGCTAGAATTCACCTCAAACTCGTTTTTTTTCAAGAAGTGTTTCGGCTTGCCTTTAACTATTTCTAACTGTGTCCATAGTGTATCAATCGCCCGTAATCGAAGGGCGCGGAGGTCCGTTTCCAATCTCCTGCTGAGCTCCCAGGCTCGCTCCTCCATCTAAAAGATAGTTTAACCCCTTGCCTACTAATAACGAGTGTCACTCGTGCCGCCATTTACGGACCATAAAACCCGACCACGAGTGTGACTCGTGTTTCGGTTTCAGAGCTTGTTTTGTGAGCTCTGCGGCAGATGGCAGCACTATTTCTGTTGCTCCTGTTTACCTTGGGTTCTTTTCTTGTTTGCTTTGCCTTTTGACAGAGAGAGGGCGCTCCATTGACAAAAAATAAGCGCGCTATTGTAAGCAAGTGCGCCAAAAATATGTCTTCGGCGCGGAAATCTGCTTTGGCGGACAAAGATATACAAAGACTTCTTTTTGAAAGTGATGAATGCGCCAGTATTTCTGACGACGAATCCTGCTGCCTTTCCGATTACTCGGAATCCGATGAGAGTTCAACGGACAGTGAGAAAAGTGTTGAAAACGATGCGAATCCTGGAAGCATTTCATCGACTTCTTCGTCTGCACGTCAGTGGAACTGGGAGAAGAGGGACAACCAGCCTGCTCAGTTCACCTTTGTAGAAACGCCAGGTGTGTCAGCAAGGGTTCAACGCAGTCTTGGTGAGAAGACAAGCGCCTTGTCGACCTTTTCCGTGTTTGCAAGTCATGATTTTTGGGCGTCTGTCTCTGCCGAGACAAATCGCTACGCCGAACAAGAGATGGGCGACGAGGATCGTCCCAAGAAATGCTATGAGGAGCAATGGTTTGACACCACTCCGGATGAGATAAAGGCATACTTTGCCTTGTGCATCATTATGACGCAAGTGAAAAAACACACAGTCAAAATGAACTGGTCCAAGAGGTCCATAGTGGAGACCCCAATTTTCAGCAAAACGATGTCCTATGTGAGGTTTCTGCTAATCTCTCGATCTCTATCATACTGTGAAGAACTACTGAAGAAGAGGAGACGACCAGAAGTCCTGGTATAGAGCACGAGACTACGCCTGAAAGCCAAGGAAACGTTTTTCTTTATTTTGACGCAAATTGCTTGATTTTAATAAAGCTTTCTGTACGATCTTTAAAGAAAAAAAATGAGTAGGCAAGGGGTTAAAGGCTACAGTTTGAATTTCTGTGGGTTTGTTTATTTTTCTTCATTGTGGCAAGTTTTCAGTTGAGCAACGGCACGTCGCCGTAGCTGACAGTCATAGATGAGACTGGTGTATGCGTGTAAGCTTGGCAATTCTGGTGAATCCTTTATCGACTTTTAGGACTCAGATGGCAGCAGAGTGGTCCGAGGATGAAGCCATATCATTCTATTTCAGTTCTGTGAGCCACGACCAACAAAACCAACCTGTACTCCATCACATGGAGGAACTGCTATGCCCAACGGCTTGTTAGACTCTAGTTTTAGACATGGTTTCTGATAGCTTAAAGGGACAATGAAGGCGATTTCGCACATCTTTTTGGCGACTGAACTGGGTTCCAGGCACGTCTCATGTCACGCTGCCCAAATTTCAGCCGAAACCGGCGCTTCTATGACGCGCAAATCAATTAAACAGTCGCGGTAATAATCGTACCGGGATCGACTGGAGCGACGCCCCGAGAGTTGCCGGAGAAGCCAGGAGAAGAGGAGCTCATGTGACCGATGCGGGGCCAAGAAGCGCGACGTCACAAGAGACGCGTCAGCGATTGGTCGAAACGAGAAACGTGCCCTCGGTCACGTTTTGGTTCGCGATTTTTAGGAATACTGTTCCAATTTCCACTTGAATAACCATGAAAAGTATAAATCGGACCGAAAATGATTACTAAATTGTAAATAAAGCAGCATAATTGTTTTTTGCTTTGCTACGCTGAACGCGAAGCGGGCAACGAACAACTATGGGCAAACAAAATAAAATAAAAAAGAACACGGTACTGGAAGGATTCTGCAAAATTGTAGCTGTAGACGGCTGTTCCAACGGTCGACTGAAGACCAGTATTCGTTCGGGCGACGCTAGTTTTGTGTTCTTTGACGACGAAAAGAGGACGTTCGCGGAGAAACCGGATCCCGGAACGGCCGGATCGCTGCCGCTTTCCCCTCCGCGTCTCCCCCGCGTCCGTCCTTCGGCATGCGGGCCGCTGGTTGCCGGCTGGGCAGTCTCCGTCGGGTGATGGCAGAGGCCGCCACACACATACTCCCGTTCCGTTGGTGTTCGGTCACTGAACGGAAGCTCGAACTCGCTCGCGAAAGCGGCATTGCCGTAGATGTTGACAGATTCGGCGAAACGACCGCCCCACCGCGCTGCTATAACCCACCGTGGTAACCAGAGTCTCGATCTCCTAAATGCTACCGATACCGACTATTCACATCTGACGTCACTCCCTACGTCACCTCCGTTTTCGGAGGCCCAGAAACGAGAACGGAGATAGTTCAGTTTCGGTTTCTTTACTTCTTTCGTAGGCACAAAAATATGCGTCACAAATGTCTACAAAAAATTGGGCAGCATGCTATGTTCCCAAGAAGCATAAAAACACCATTTAAAAAAATTAAATAAAATCGTCTTCATTGTTCCTTTAAGACTTTTCTGATATTTGCTATGTTTCAGTGTACAGCTTGCTCGCTACCACGGGTTGTGCACTCTAAAGAGCAATGAGAGCTGTGCTGCAAAAGGAGCTTGCCTTGCTTCACCACAGTGATGGTTGCTTCTTCAACATGTAGATGGTCATGCGAAGAGGACAGATCATCAGCACCTTCAGAAGAAAAGGCCCCACAAGCTGAAATAGCAGGAGCATTGTCAGACCCTGTAACAGAGAATACAAAGGAAACTCACATGAGAGCTTCTTGCTGCATGTTTGCAAGAGGCAAGGAGCCATACTTTTAGCTCAACATTGGCCCACCCAAACGCATTGTGAGTATTCTCCAGTGTTTTTATTCATTAGCTTTTTAAAAGCAGAGGAATATCATGGTGGCCCAGTCTCAATCGTGGATAATATCAGGGATGGCCAAACCGTGGCTGGCGAGCCTTGCGCAGCACTTCGGGAACCCAAGTGCGTCTCAAAGCTCCCTGGTAACCTGTAACCCCCCCCCCACCATTAAAGAAAAATGAAAAGGGAAAACAAAAAAGAAGGCAGCCTGTGTTTTAACTTTGTGCCATCATACACACTTCTGACATGATCCTTGTTTTTGCAAATGGGGACTCAAAGTAAGGGAACATGCTGGGCAATCATTTTATGAGTGGAATTTGCCGTAGCCGCCAGCTAATGAAGTTCTTTAGTGCCACATTTCCTTTTTGTTGCCTTTAACTTAAAATACTTCCTTTTTATAGGTCAAAAAACACATATTATATGTATCCCACCCAGGGTACCGCGTTATCCAAACACAATTTGAGAATGGTTTCAAATAACACAGCAACTCCAATATTCGCAACTCCAGCGCACCGCTCGCCCTCCCGCGGACAACTAGAAGAACGGAGTCGGCAGCGGCGCGGAAAAGGTGGCAGGGGCTGTCGGCTTTCATGCGTAAAGCCGTTGTAGGGTGATTTCAGATAAGATCGACCAAAAGGGTGGCTGGTCGACATTTTGAAATCAACTGATGTTTTTATATGACATTGTCTAGTGTCTGGTATAAACGAATCCACACTTAGTTTTGACCAGAAAAAAAGTTTGGAGACAACAAAAATCGTAAGGCAGGGAGAGGTGGACAGTTGCAATAACGCGCACTGATGGAGGGGGCAAGTTTGAAAGTGAATAATTAAAACAATAAACTTAGGAGAATTTTAAAACTTTTTACAAACAAACTATGGGTACAACTTGCTTGTAATATAAAGTAATAATATTTATGAAAAATTTATTTAGTTTTCTAAAAATTGCCAAACATGCCTGCTCGAACGACAAATGGCAAACTTTGGAAATCTGTATCTCATGAAATAATTTAATCCTTATTACATAACTTGCAGACATTATTTTACTAATATATGGCTATTATTGAAAAAATAAATAAGGTATCTGAGTGACACAATAGTTACAATATATTTAGGCAAACATGGGAAAAAAATCAAACAAAGAAAAATTCCAATGCGAATAAAAAAAAAACACCACCTTCGATTTTTTTAAATTTGGGTACCCTGTTATACTCTATTTCGGCATTCATTTCTATTAAAAACATGTTGCATCATTGCACTGTGAAAGAAGAAACAACTCCCCAAAGTAGGGTCCTTTTTCAAAGCCTACACTTAGCAGTGTCCTATTCAAGAAGTGACTCTGAGTTCCAGTTTCATGAAACTTGCACGAATCTTTTATATACATTTATTCAGATGAGGTCATTGATAAAAAGAGCGATCGGTCACACAGTAAAAGGGAGGAAAAACTATATACAGCATTTTACATAAGCGTACAAAGTGGTATCATATTAGAGACTAATGATTTGAGAAAAGATGATGCAGTGTGAAGTTGTACCTTCCGGTATATTTTACATCTAGAGTAAAATAAATAACTTTACTTCCACACACAAAAACAAAGATATAATAGTAAGATATTTAGGTTGGCTGTGTATTTACGATTACAAACAATTTCAGGTGACGGATGCCATAGTGCCTAACTGGAGCAGCTTCGATGCTCTCGGTGTATGAATGAATCGTGGCAAGCCGATATATTTTATCTTGCTCGAGGATAACATTTTGGGATTTTTTTTATAGTGATCAGATAAAAATTATTAGTAACCACCAACAAAAACAGTAGGTTAAATACCCCGTGAAGAAAAATGTGATAAATAAGATGTCCCTGCATTCAAAATGAGCAGTCCTTGGGAAATCAAATTCGGCTCTTTACGCTAAGGTTTTCCTCGCTGTACCCATTTAATAAAGTTGCTTCCAAGCAGATCCGACTGTCCGTGCTACATATACGTCACAGGTCCCTTCTGTTGATGACTTGCTGAGCCGCCACGCGTGCCAAGACTGAATGCCAGGGAAGGCGCGCACCGTCAGCCACTCTTCTTTTTTTTGTTCACGATACCGAACAACCTCATTTTCGTCCAGATATACAAGATGCACGCCTTTCAGTTTCTTTGATAGAACGCTCACCATTGTCCTGGCCGTCTGAATTGCGCTTACTGAACGTTCTCTCAGGTTGTTCAGCGTGGCCTGGTGCTTCACGAGTCCGCCAACTCCGTCACATGCATTTTTCCCATGTCCAGATGCAGAAAATAACCACTGGGCTTGTGGGCAATCGTCCTTTGCAAATTGGTGAAGCTGGTAGCGATTCTTGAAATGACTGGTGGCGCCGTCACTTACGTACGTCACGTACGAGTATACCGCAACGTTGTCTTCAACCCACTCCTTCACTTTTTCTAGAGCCAAGCAAGCGTGAGCGGCGTCGTGACACAGGTCCTCACTGATGATGGCAAAGCTGTTTGTAGATTTTCTTGTCATCACTACACATGTAAATATCGAAACTTGTTTTTTTTTCCAGTGATATGCTTGCACTTCGTCAGGAAGCACGATGGTCCAGTTTTCAGCAAAGTCAAAATGAAAGACAATGCTCCCGCGTTGCATGCACTGTTTTTCATCGTAGATCGCTTTACCTTGCGTTTGCCGGATATGGTTGTGAAGTACCCAACTTCCAACCGTCACTTGGATGACTTTTAGGAAAGTCTCAGGTTCCAAAGTTTTTTTCACAAGGTCGCCGGACTCCCATGTTGCAAGCACAATCTCTTCATCCTCCGGGATATCAAGTTCCTGGAGTGTAAGAAACTGGCCTTTTGGGCAGTGATCACAGTCTCCTTGAAGGCACAGTTCTGTTGCTGGGTCACACAGAAATGCCGAGTTCATTTCACCAGTGTTGAATGTTGAGCCTGTAACGTTCTCTAGAGCGGCAATACAAAGATAATAATTGGCGCAGCGCACACAAACGCACACTTCCTGGTGTGGAATACATTGGACCCATCTAGGGCGCAACGAATAAAATTTCGTTAGCCCAACGCCGGAATCGGGATGCTTGTCTTTGTATATACGGAAGGCCTCTCGTATTGAGCGTGTCATGAAGCGCTTTGGCACGAACGTTTTCTCTCCGTTGAGCATGACAGAGATGACGTCCTTCTGGTTGGGACTTTGGCGCGAACATTGTAGGTCGTCTTTCGTGAAGTACTCTAGGGCAGCAGACAGGTTCTCAGGGCTCACCTTGCACCTCGTGTAAGGATCCGGCTCATACCACACGCCATGATTTTCCTTGAGTTTTCGGGATTTACTGATGAGGTACATTGAGGCCTGTGGAATCATCTTTTGAACCTCATTCTTCGTCAGTGTTGACGGCAGGAGTGTAAGCAGTTGACAACGTTCCCGGAGAGAGGTGGCGGTTTCAAAGGCCTGCCGAAAGTTGTCCACCCACTCAGTGCATGTGGAGCATGTTGGTTTGGACGACCCCGATGGTGCGTCCCTGTCGTACGCAATACGTAGCCTTGAGCGTATATTCTTGACAGCAACCTGCTCCAGTTCTGTCTGCTTTCTCTTGACATAGGCAGGCCTGTCCCGACTTCTTACAACGCTTGGTTGTCTCAGCGGCGACACATCTGTAGGTAGTATGCTGCGATTTAGATCTTCAATTGCTTCTTCAGCTGGCACAAATATGTCAGGGCACTGCTCTGAGCTTCGCATCGAGATCTCCTTAGTGATGTGCATGAAGCAATGGTAGCACAGGTAGTCCGTCGAACTTACTTTGGTGGAACAGTCAGGCGGAAGAATTTGCTTCAACGAGTTTAGGTCCAACTCGCCAACACTTCGAAAATTCCGCTGCTTTGGTATAGTCTTTTTGTGTTTGCAAAAGCAATCTGCACAAAACACTCGTTCGGAGCTCCAGGACGTCTTCATAATGTATACATAAATCAAAGAAATTAAACCCCAACTGATGGCATATAATTGCCAAATGAAAGAACTACTGGGTGCACAAGTGACACGTCCGAGGCTGAGGAGCTCACTCACTGCAAACGTACATTTGAAAAGAGAGGTCACAACTGAGGCTGTCGGCAAAGCTTGATCCACGTCAAAGGAATAAAGAAGGAAAGTCTCCAGACAAAAAATTGTGGTCAGCGGCCTTCGAAAAAGACTTTCCGGAATCGCACTGTCGTCCCTCCACGCGCTGATATGAGAGCACCCGAGCTTCTACCACGTGGTTCATGACACAGCCTGAGCCATGTCGGCAACCGGTTCGCAAGGGGTTGGCGGTGGGGTTACGTTGATGGTCACTCGGATTAGCCCTTGCTCTACTGAGCTACCGCCTGCAGTGCCTTATCGCCGGCTGGTGTCAACAACGAGAACACACACACCCTGTCTACACCAAAACTACAAGCGTTCACCGCACACGCGTCGCCGCCGCTTTTAAGCTTTTGTGAAATTGCTTTCTTTTGCCGCGGAGAACCGCCTTATCTTAACTACGCGCCTGAAATCCTTCCAGGCGGGCGTACACAATATCAAGCGTTTCGAGAAATGCCCGTGGAGTAGAACTATGGGAAAATTCGGAGCCCGCGATGTCGATATCGTCGCCGTTGTGTTAGTACGCCGTCGCGTACTGCAGTCCCCCGTTGGGGGAGGGGGGGGGGGCGGTCTTACTACGATAACATGGCGACAGCGTTTACACTCTATGTATTTACGCGAGGCTCGAGTATTTGGGGATAATGCTGCCGGTTGGTGTGCCCCTTTGTGCCTGATATTATCGCCCGTGACGCCAGTGAGTGAGATGGCGACAGGCATGACTGCTCAGTAAACAGGCGTCGGCGGCCATGTTTTGCTGGTTGAAGCGAACCCCCTTGTCCC